AAAAAAAAATAGACTCTGAGAAGTATATCCTCTATACTTCATTTTTTCTTTCGTTTCCATTTTTGTGATGCTGCATTAGGACTCTAATGCTGCTGTAACAAAAAGACCACAAGTGGAAAACTTAGCAGACATTTATCCTCTCCCAGTTTAGGCCTCTAGCGTCTGAATTGAGAGCATACCTTGGAGGTTTCCGTGTGTTGGCAATAATCTTCCCTTTGGTCTGGGTGATTCTCAGTGCAGAGACCGAGGGTCCCAAGGATGCACTCTGCTCCTGACTCTTTTTCCTGGTGGTAATCAGATCCTTCCTTCTCTGCCTGCTTTTCTTACCTTTTATATCTTCTAACATAAAAAGTAATGCGGGCTATCCTCTGTCAAGCGCTGCCCCCCCCACCCCCCACCCATCCCAAAACCCTTCTTTATATCAAAATTAGGTCTGAAATCTGAGTGATTACTTACTTTCTAGTCCAATCTGCTTAAAATTATTGATTGATTACGTCATGAGGTATGATTACATCATTGTGTAACTTCCAAGTTATAGATATAGTGGCCAAGCAAAGTTGACACATTTTTAGAGGCTACAATTCAATTCATGATAAGCTGACTTCTTGGAAATACTGATCCTTTTGTCTTTCTTCCCTGAAATAATTTGTTCTTGTACTTCTTCAGATTGTCAGTAGGATTTTCTGTATGTATTCTGGAAAAAAAACAGCAAACCACCAAAAACAAAAACATCAGATTGTTTCTTTTCCCCCCCAGAATTATTGTTTCAGTATTACTATATATTTTCAGTTTAGAAAGAATCAAGTGTTTCAAAATGATATGTTGCCTTTTGTCTTTTTCTTTTGGGATTATCTTTAAAAGAATTTACATATATAAGTAATCACATTGTTTAGGAAAGTATTAAGAGTTACTCTTTCATGATTTTCAGTCTTGCTGAGAAAATTTGTACAAGTTTGTCTTCATCTTCTGCATATATGGGTTCTGCTAATCATGATGGCTTCATCATTTTCTGAGATAATACCCCAAAGTATCTATATGATGAGTGAGGTTCAGTATTAATC